TATTTTTGATTGTGTTCGCCACAATTACATATTAATTTACGCTCACTAGCCAGTAATTAAATATTTGACCACGAATACGTTAAGCAGTTGGGCGGGAGGATAGATATCTATAGCGGCCCTATAAGTTAGTTCTGCCCATAAAAGTAAAGTGAAAACAATGAACCTCCCCCACCCTCCCTGTGACTGTTCAAGTGAGATTTTCTACCTATCACCAGTGCGGTAATGGTCCCAACACGAATCCCGTTTCACAAGGGGAAACGGAGTCAAATTATTTTGTGAATCAAGCGACTTACTCGTTGCTGTCAGATCAGACCTGTGATCCCCGCTGTCAGTTGACTTCCAGCATTTCTAATCGCAATCTATGACGCATGGGTTAACTGGCTTAACCTATGGTTTGATAGTCAACTCAGCCCGGATTCAGGCGTAAGACCTTCCTGCACTGAGGCCATAACGGTTGAACCAGGGATTAACAATCAGTTAATAGGGAAAGGTTAGAAGTCGTGCGGACCCAGCTTTGATCGAGTATAGTCGTTTCTACTCGTTTAGCCCGCATCGACGAAGGCTTGTTCCCAATCGAATAGGCATTGTGGCACAGTCTCCATTGCGAGTCATTGGGCGATTTTCCCGTTATGTAACAGTCTTTCTCCTTAGTGGCTCATCGAGAGAATTACGTAACTGTTAGTAGTGCATGAATACCATACAATGAGCAGATATTTTCGCGAGCAACTTTTCGGTCTGCCGACAGTCAATAAGTGAGATAAAGATTTGATTTATTGACCAGCCTATTTACAAGGATCGACGCAACGACCCTGACACCCCTTGTCGTAAAGTTAACAGTCGCCGACAGTAAATAAATGTGAAGCGGAAATACACGGAAGACTGCAGGGTTAGTGCGCGTTGGTAGGACTAATGAAAGCTAACGATTGGTACTTGGTTTACAGAATAGGTACACATTTTGGATGACATGTACAAGAAAGTTGCGGATATGGGAGCGCCAAACGCTCTTTTAGATAGTAAAATCTCGTGCTGAGACCTTAAAATTAAGAAGTAGACGCGATTGCTGGGACGGTAGCTTTGTTTACCTGACGTTTCGGATTCACGCTTGAAGACATTATCAGGTACGGACACTTCATACATAGGAAGTTGCAGTATTTATGGCATGCGGTCGCTATGCTTCCGCGTACCTATGGAAATTACCGACGCCCCCTTCCTCGAGGGTGGTTGCACTTGGTGCAATAATAGCTCGATGACCGGCGTTCAAGTACTTGACTGCTGAAATCATCACCCGTTTTGGGTCTTAGCATGCTGATTTCTTGATCGACATGGTTGTTCGAATCAGTGTTCGCCTGCATTCTCCCTGCGTAGCTGATTCATTTTCCCAAGCTAAGTCTAGACACTCCATATGGAAGTGGGTGGTTATTGCACCTTTTACTAGACTAGCAGCCAGTGAATCATAATTCAACCAGTTCTCTGTTGACGCGGTTGCCACCTCGTCAAAATGTCGGTCTCGTCGGCCGGGTCTTATCTAATGAGCCACGCCCGGAAGTTGCCGTCATTTCTCCACACTGCTGCGGCTGCGTGTCCGGCCATTCGTGTCCGGAAAAATTTTCTAGTTCCTCCGAAATAGTTGCTTTACCCATAGCAAGACGAGTGCTTGCGTCTACTTCTTCCCAACAACTTCCTGTAACTCACCTCTTCGCTTGTATCGGCAACCTTCAAAAATATAGCCGCTAACCGTGTTTAGGGTTTTCCTTGGCATAAAATCGAAGAATATAAGCGTCAGCCGAGAGTCCTCGAGGCGGATACAGTTGGCTTCAAGAGGCTGAGATTTAAAACATCAGAAGATCTTGTGTTCTTTTTGCCTATTTTCGTCTTAAGTTTTCCATTTTTTGCATTGTCTGCGTGCAATCTGGTGGTTTGGCAGTCTCACAGCCGGCCCTACCTTCTTCTTCTTCCTCCAGATACTGGAAGCTGAGATTCGTCGAGAAGCCGAGGAAGCGCGTGCTCTGGAGGATGAGCTGGATGCGATTGACTCAGACGACGGTCGCGGCGATCCGAGCAAGGAACAGGAGGAGTATGAGCTGTGGAAGGTGCGTGAACTGAAGCGTATTCGCAGAGAGCGTGAGGCCAAGGAGGCCATTGAACAGGAGAAGGAGGAAATTGAGCGTATCCGCCGCATGACGGATGCCCAGCGTCGCGAGGAGTTCCGCAAGAATCCCAAAAAGATCACCAACAAGGCGCCCAAGGGAAAGTACAAGTTCCTGCAGAAATACTTCCACCGCGGTGCTTTCTTCGTTTCCACGGAGGAGGAAAAGCTCTTCCAGCGTGACTTTGCTGCTCCCACCCTGGAGGACCACTTTGACAAGACCAAACTGCGTGCTGTCATGCAGGTTTGTTTTCTGATTTTATTGATGAAAGACCATGCCTGTGCTCAAACTGTTGCGCTGCAGTTTTCCTCATTTTGTTCCCCCC